CTAATTAGCCAAAAGAGGTAGACAGGGGAAAGATCATGAAGGGTTTTGTAAACCACGTTCAAGTTCCTAAACTTTATTCGAGGGGTGAGTTTAAGTCACTGAAGTATTTTAAACAGGTATTTAAATCAGATTACTCTGTGGCTGCCAAGTGGAGAATCTATTCTCCAGCTGCTATTGGACCAGGACAGACTGGATGAGAAAATACCAATTAAGAGGCTGATGCTCCAGTGCAGGGGAAGCCTGGGCAATGGTGTGAGTCATGGGGATGGATAGAAGTAGATGTCTTTGAGAGATATTTAGGTGATTGAAATAAGATTTGGTGATTTAACGATGTGTGGAGAAGAAGAAAATGGTGATTCTAGGTTTCTGGCTTGGTCAAAAATAACTCTAATAAGTTGGGGGTTTGTTGTTGTTGTTGTTTTTAACTTGTATACTTAGAGGAATGGAAACATGTTACTTTGCTTTTTGTGTAAAGCACTATGTACTATTTAGAATTTATAAACCTGAAGGAGAGAGAGAGAATTTAGGAAAACATAATCTGACTTACCAGAAACAGTATTGATACGGAATATACGATAGCCTTTTTACAAAAATGTGTGGAAATAAACTTTTGCCACAAGAGCTTTAAAAATGCAGCCTAGGGGGCGGTGGCATAGTGGTTAAGTTCGGCGTGCTCCGCTTCGACTGCCCGGTTCATGGGTTCAGATCCCAGGCATGGACATACACCACTTGTCAGCCATGCTGAGGTGGCGACCCACATGTAAAATAGAGGAGGATTGGCATGAATGTTAGCTCAGGGCTAATCTTCCCCACCAAAAAAAAAAAACAAAATGCAATCTCTAACCTTGGAATAGTCCTCTTGTGGACTCTTCAGCTTCAGGACATTTGAATCATAAAGTGTATAAAATCAAAAAGTGTTAATTTTAATTTAATTCAGTTCAACAACATACATTTTTTGAGCAATCCACAATGACGTACTTATGTTATTTTGGACACAGTTTACATAGTCTAGAAGAAAAACTATGAAGAAAAATATGGAAGTTTCAGTTCAAATACCTGGTTGTCTGGGCTTTGATTTCTTCTTCTCTAAGATGTAGCTAGTATGATCAAAATGCTGGTAACATCCTATTTCCTTCTCAGTTTGCTCCCAGTCTCTATTTTGAGTGGATATGTGACTATATATGTATATATCTATATGCACGTGTATATATTTATACACGTTATGTGGCAACTCAAAATTTCATAAACATTTCACACAAAGTAAGCTTTTGTTTTTATTTTTGTTTTTGAATCTTGTATCCTAGTGTTGTTCAACCCATTATATTTCTTTTCTGGGAAAAAAATGTAATATTTTCCTTCTGTTAGGGATTTTTCTCTCTGAAATTAACTTATGAAACGTGAAGGCACCAGGACATGCTGCTCACTGCCTTGCTGGGCTCATGTTTATTTAACAAGGTGTCCTTGGTTACCAAGCATGTCTGCAGGTTGCAAGGAACCTAAGAATATGTATAAGGAAATGAGACGAGTGTCATAAATATTTGATGTTCCATATGATCCTCCAAAAGTATCTCTAAGTTACTTCGCACTTCAAGCATGGGAAAGAATCCTTCAGCCTCATAAGCAGAGTGAAATAAATTCTTAGTAAATATTTCGTTCTTCTTTTTTTCCAATTTATCCTAACCATAGGGGAACAACAAACTTTTGCCTTTTCAGAAACTGATTATCTAGTGGTAAATTATTCCTAACCTTTGATTCTACTCTTATTTTTCTTCTCTTCTACTTTCTATATTTGATGCCCATTGGTATTTCCATATAGAGTAGGAAGGATGAAATCCAAACCAATTTTACTTGGTATTTTTAAAAAGGTTTACTCTGGCGGCAATTTTTGCTGTCAATTTTTAAAGGACACTTAGAAATTACTTGTATGTGTTATTCATACTATCGATGTCCCATTAGCTTATGTTGTCTAGAATCTGCTGAATTACCAAGAGATAAAAAACACAACTTTGCATGCACAAAGATAATGACTGCTCATTACCACCTGGCCAGCACACATTTTTACCAAGGCTCTGTTTTCAAGGTTGATCTGAGGATAGATAAAAAAAAAAAAAACACCTCAAAAGCATGGGAATATTCTTAGGCAATCAAAAATCAGTGAGGTTAAGTCTAGGTCAGATAACAAGGGGCTTCCGTTAAAGGGTTTATTTGCTTGAAATACTGACTTCTCAAGCATCCCTTATATCTTTGTGAGGGAAGATTTAACTGATTACACATGCTAACAGCTCATTAAGAATATAACATAAGGAAGATAAATTACAAAGTCAAAAAGGTGAACAAGATAAGTAGAGGCCACAGTAAACTAAATGTATGTGCCCTGGTTTATGATTTTTTGTATCATGTGCAATGTAAGTGGGCTAAGTTGCTCAGTACCAGATACCAGCTAGGAACAAAGACATTGTCCCAGAGTGGCCATATAGGTATTGATTGGGAATAACAATAATATACTGCCAGGCAGTCTAGTGTTCAAAAGTTTAAAAATTTCAGGAATATAGCATTTTTGCAATGTAGAAATCATACTGATATATAATATGTTTTCTCTTTTTCCTAGAAATAAAGTACTAAGACAGAAATTGAAATTCTGATATAATTAGGAGATACTATAGAGGGAGATGTGTGATTGAGGATGAGAAAAGCTCTTATAAAAAGATTTCTGAATACCAGTAGTTTGAATTTATGTGTAGTAATAGAAGCTATATTGTCAGTCAAACTCCTATAGTATTTGCGGTATGGAGATATTAATGATAATAAGATCCACTGTACTTACCCCAGTCTTTAAAATCTTAAGTTATAATTTGATTCTTTGAGATATTAGTACTGAGCAACCTACAAGATCAAATTGACTTGCAGGAATAGGATAATTTACCCGCATCAAAGATAGAGGCAAACAAGAGGCACAGACAAAGGAAAGAGATTATGGGACGTATGGCATGGCTCCTCAAGTCCTTTTTTCCCGCATTGGACATGCACATTCTGTCTCCAAGGAAGGTTTTGTAGGTTTACCACACACAACAGGAAATACTTTCATTTTTACCCTAGAAAGTGCAAAAGCTCCGTCACCTTTTCCGGGGAGCCATAAGCCATTAATGCATAGATTCTGAGTTTGTTTACTGCAATGATTCTTTAGCCTGGGACATGCTGGTAAGGGCTTTTGTAGATAAGGACTTTTCTTCCTGGTAAATATTACTGGTCTTTTTACCTGGAGTTCCAGTTGACAAGGACATTAGAATCACTTACCGCCTTTTTTTCCTCCTCTTGGGCTGCCTCTCACACACATACCAGTAAAAGGACTGAATAGATCCTAGACCAGCTGCTCTAACTCTTTTCTCCTCAAATACTAATCTGTGAAATGTAATTGAGTCAAAATTTGCGAAAACATTTTCCAAAGCCATGTAAATATTAAAGCATATAATGAAATTTTGCAACCCCAATAAACTTTAGTTGAAAGAGACCAGGAGCATGCCTACAATTTCTGGCAGAACTAGAAAGTCTCCAAAATTAAAGAATGAAATAATCATGTAGATAATGATGATGATGATGATGATAGTAATTAAGCTCTCACCATTCACCAAGCTTCTCTTTTATATTCTTTACATACATTATATTATAAGACTCATAATAATCTTCCAGGATAGGTACTACTATTTTTGCTATTAAACAGATGTAGAAATGGGGGCATAGAGATACTAAATAACTTAGTCAAGTTTACACAGCTAGTAGATTCTGATGCCATCGATCAAATCCAGGAAGTCTGACTCTAAAATCCATGCTATTGACTGCTAAATCATAGATGAGAAGAGCACAGACATATCAAATTCAACATAGTTTTTATTAATAAAACTGGATAATAAAAGTTGATTATTACGGTTGCAAAAATGAAATAGATTAAATGTTGAAATTAATGATTAAGCAATGGTTTTATTAAAGGCCTGTTATGAACTTTGTGTCATGTGATGGGCTACAATTCACGGATGATGTAGGAGATGTAACAGACAGCATCATAATACCTGCCAAAAAAGACTTCAAGTTGAGTTAGAGGTTATGAGCTATGTTTAAGTACCAATATCATAAAGGTGATTATTGAAGCAATTTATAAACTAAAATAATTTGTCTAAATAAATGTGATTATCAGGCCAAAATTCTAAGATAGAAATACTTTAGCATAGAAGTGACTCAGAATGTGATTTTTATTTGTAAAATCCTAAATAATGTGAAGGCTGATAAAGTAAACTGAGAAAAGAATGGTAAACAAGAAAGAGAGAAGTATGACCTACATTGCCATCTGTTGGGGAAATGAACATCTGTCATGTTGAGTGAAAGAGGAAGCTTGGAAATTCCCAATGAATCTCAACAGCCAGCACTACTATTTAAGAGCAAAAACAGATTTCAAGCCTCATTTAGCTTTTTTTTTTTAATTTGGAAAAGATATTTAAAGAAGGAGGAAAAATAAACCTCCAATAAGTTAGAAACCGTAGCTTTTAAGATTCCCAGATATAATTTTAGATCAAATTAGAATAGAATTGAGCTGGAGAAAGAATATTGTCAAAACTTGTCTCCAAAGTAGATTTATGCTCTCCAGAAGCATCTTGTTTTCTGACAAATGGATCCATGCATGCCATAAGTATGGTGGCAAAAATCCTATCCTGGAAGTTAGTCTCAGCTCTAACATGGAATCATTTTGAGTAGTCATTTGACTCTTTGGGTGTAAATTTCTTTGTCTGTAAAGTGGATGAGATTGGATTAAATGATTCTCAAGGTTACTTTCAGTCGTGCTCCTATTTATGCTGTGCACCTATTAAAAAAATAGCCTGTTCATAATTGCATGCTTGAGATAATATTTATTATATAGATGGAAATAGTGTTCCTAGAACTTCCTTTATGTTTTATTATCATTATTATTTTACTTCTTCTGAAATCTTACATCAAAATCTTCTCTCCTTTAGGGTGGAGTTAGTGGGTTGACTGGAGAGCTAGAATTTGGAGAAAATGGAGGCAATCCCAACGTCCACTTTGAAATTCTTGGAACCAACTATGGAGAAGAGCTTGGCCGAGGTGTTCGCAAAGTAAGACCAGAGACATTAATAAATGTCTTTTCCTATACTAACTATGGTTTTGTTTGATTCTTCTCCATGCAACATGATCACAGTATCATTAAAGTTCATACTGTAGTTTGAAAGGGGCAGGGGGAATTAGGCATTTAAATAACCTTAAATACTTACCAGAAGTATTAAGCAATAAATTCTATTTATGCCTTAGAATAATTTAAAGGAAAAAAATAATCTGATGGTTACTGAGGGAACTAGCATCATCTTTCATTCATTATAATAATAATTTTTATAGAGTAGTGAATTTAGTATTTCTGCAATACATCGCTGCTTGGTTTTTAACTTGTAACATGCACAAAATCTGAATAAGAGCTTTGATAAATTTCATATAGTAAGAGGAAAAGTCTACTATAAAATGAGACATTATAGTATTTCAACTTCTATATGTGTCATGTAATAAGTGGAAAATGGTTTGCAGGAAATGAGCCCTGGTTATTTACTACAGATCACATGTAAGAATAAGCTGAGTGCCGATAAAGGATTTTTCACAAAATACTGTGACAATAACTTTCTCAAGGAGATATATGAAAGACTCTCTAGAAGGACTTTTCTATAGTTTGGATTTGCCATTTTTATATGTTTTTGGTAGGGAAAACTTAAGGTAATTGTGCATATAGAGCTCATAACTATAAATTTCTAACTGTGTAAACTTGGCTGCATTGGGAGTAAGAGGTTCTTCAGTAGGTGTTTCTTTCCAGTGCTGAGATGTAGAATGAAGAAAAACTTAGACAAAATGAAGTTAGGAATTATTCTAATTAGCAATAAAAACCTCTCAGTAAATTTGTGCTAGGGGACTTGAAACTATCTTAATGCGTTTTTAATTATTGTTTTATAGTGAAGCATAGCAGACTTATAGAAAACTGCATGAAACACAAGGATAGGCTAGTGAATTGTTTTAAAGGAAACAACCACAACTATGGTCAAGAAATAGAACAAATCAAGCATCTTAAACACCCCCATCTATGTCTCCCTCATTACATCCCTGACTTCCCTTCTCAGTAGTATAATCATTAGTCTGAATTTTATGACACTCATTTCTTTACATTTTAAATATAATTTTATCACATGTGTGTGTATCCTTAAATAATAGAATTGAGCTTTGCCAATAGTGAATGAACTCAATATGGCATTTATTCTTTTTTCTTGCTTCTGATGTTTCACATTCTGTTTGTGTTATTCATTCTTGTTACATGTAGTAGCAGTCTATTCATTTACATTGCTCTAACATTTTCTATTCTATGAATGTGTCACAATCTACTGTGATCTGTTTCCCTTTTTAGACTATTATAAGCAATGCTGTTGTGAATATTCTTGGACTTATATCTTGGATATATACTCTTGTACTTGTGCATCTATTTCTGTAGGTTTTGTATCCAGAAGTAGAATTTCTGCAATGCAAGGAAGTGTATCTTGAACTTTACTAGATAACCTCAAACCCATTTTCATAGAGATTTACCAATTTACATACTACCAGCAGGGCAACGAGGTCTCATTGCCTCTTGTTCTCACCAAATCTTGGTTTTGTCAGACTTAAATTTTTATTAATTTATTGGATATATAATAATATATCCTTATGATTTCAGTTTGCATTTCCCTGATTATAAAAAGGTTCTGGTGTCTTCTCCTATATTTTTTGGCCCTTTAGATTTCTTTTTGAGTTAATTGCCCATTCAAGTCTTTTGTCCATTGTTTATTAGGTTGTCTTTTGTTTTTATAATTGATTCTAGGAGGTACATATATATTTTGAATATTAGTCTTTTGCTATTTAATTATGTTGCAAATAGTTTCCTCTCTGTGTATTTTATTTTCATACTGTTCATAGTACCTTTAAATTTAGTAGAATTATGCATTTTCTCGCTTATGATTATTGCTGTTTAGTCTTATTTAAGCAATCATTCCTTACTGCCAGAGTCATAAAGTTATTATGCTCAATTATATTCCAAAGTCTTTATAGTTCTTCCTTTTAAATTGAAGCCTTTTGTCCAACTGGAAATTTTTTTTAATATATAGGAAAAGAAGAAAGTACAATTTCAGTCTTCAGTATAGTATCTTGTTTGTTTTTAATTGAGATTTAATTTAAATACGACAAAATGCACAAATTATGTCTACAATGGCTTTCAGTGATTGCATTCACCAATGTGACCACCACCCAGAGCGAGTTACAGAACATTTCCGTCACCCGGAAAGTTCCATCATTCCTGCTTCCACTCTTAACAACACAGATAGTTTTGCCTAGTCTGGATGTTCATATAAATGGATAATGTAACGTATACTCATTTGTATCATCTTTCTCTCAAGACGTTTTTTTGAGATACATCTTTATTTTCATGTGTCACTAATTTTTTTTTCACTTATATTGCTGCGTGGTATTATATTGTATGTATATAATACAGTATCTTCTAAAATTCCATTTTCTGCTTGTTGCTGATTTAAGGGAATGACATTGATATTTTATATTCGTTTTATGAATAGCTCCCTTACTTAAATCTTTAATTCTAATAACTTATCTGTAGATTCTGGTGAATTCCTGCATATTACCATATCATCTGTGATTAATGATTTTGCTCTTCCTCTCTAATCTTTGCATCTTTTATTTCTTCTTGCCTAGTGCACCGACTAGGGCCTCTAGGAGAACAGTGAATGGAAGTAATAGGAATAGGGATCCTTGGATCATTACCAATCTCAGAGAAAAAGGTGTCAACATTACACTACTAAATATAATGTTTTTCTTTTTTATTAACTTTGATCAGATTAAGGAAGCTCCATACATTCCTGGAATAAACCTAATTTTTATATTTATATAAAATCATATTTATATAAAATCATAATTATGTTTATAGTCACAAAAAAATTACTTTATTTGGTACCACCTTGCTTAAGGGTTTTACACTGATGTTTATAACTAAGGGAACATCATAACTAAGGTTACCTGAAATTTTCTCTTCTGGATTTTGTTACTAAGGTTATGTTGGCCTCATAAAATGTGGTAGAGAGAGTTTTCTCTTTATTCATTCTTTACAAGTTATATAAAAATGGAAGAATTTCTTCCTTGAATGTTTGATAAATCAGCCTAATGAAGCCAGCTGACCTAGAATTTTCTTTGTGATAATTTTTTTTTCACTACTGATTCTATTTTTTCATGGTAAATAAAAAAGTCATATTTTCCAATTCTTGTCAACTCAAGAAGTTTTACTTTTATGATGTTTTACAGTGTTTTTTTCTATATGTTTTGGCATAAAATAGCTAATCATATCTTATATTTTTAAATTTTTGAAACAGTTTGAGATTTGAACTTATTTTCATTTCTGAAATTTTCTTGGTAATTAATACTTTATTATTATTATTATAAAGACTTCTACTTCTAATAATGCTTTCTTCCCTAAAGAATGTGTTGTCTGCTATTAATAGAGCTAGACCACTTTCCTCTCTGTTACTATTTGATTGGTGTTTCTTTTTACTATCCTTTTACTTTCAACTTTTCTGTGTCCTTTTGTTCCACACATAATTCTTATAAAAAGTATGTGATTGATTATTTGATACCAATTTGACTTTTATACCTAAAAACTAGAACATTTCACGTATTTATATGAAATGTACTTACTAATAATGTGCTAATACACTATTTACTAATACATTTAGGTTTAAGTCTACCATCTTGTACATTCTACCATTTTGTACATTCTATTTGTCTTGCCAGTTCTAGGATCCTTTTCTCTTCTTTCTTGCCTTCTTTTGGATTGTTAGTATATATGTATTTTTTACCTTATTCTTTCCTCCTCTACTAATTTACAAGTCATATACTCTGTTTCTATTTATTTAATAGTTCCTCTAGAATTTACAACATGCATACCTAATTTATCAACATCTAAAGTTAATCAATATCTTTGTTCTCCTCTCAGATTAAAAGGTACTTAGAATATTTTAACTCTATTTACTCAATGTATCCACCTCTCAAATTATAGCTTATTGTTGTCAGGTTTTTAATGTTATCGTTTTTTATTCCAAAAAGTATTACCATTACTATTTTGTGCAATAAATATTTATTTACATCTACCCACATATTTTCCACTTTTTTGCTCTACTTTTCTTCCTGCATCTGTATCTAGAATTGCTTTTCTTCTGCTTGAAGTACAGCTTTTAAAATTCCCCTTGTTGATGGTTTTCTTAGGGCCAAATTTCTCAGTTTTTGTTCATCTGAACATGTCTTTATTTCATCTTCTTTCTTTAGATATATTTCCCCTAGACACAGAATTTTAAATTGCTTGTTTTGGTCTTTTAGCACCCTGATGATATTGCACTGACTCTGGCTTCAGTATTGTCGAAGCTATTAGGGAAAATCTGCCTTCAATTGTGTTTATTTAGTCATAGGAAACTAGCTACATTATCTAGAGACAGATAGGAACAAAATAATTAAAATAATTAACATAGAATCATAATTTAGTATAAATATAATTGAAGATTCAGAAAATGAGAATATTTATAGTTTTATAGCAGAAAATAATGTGTCTTTCTTAAGAGTTTTTTGTTACTTAATTGCTTGTCGAATATCAGAAAACCTTTCCTGACCTCATTATAATCGTGAAATCAAGACTGATATATATCGTTCTGAAAAAAGAAAAAAAAAAGACTTCTGTACACATTAAGGTATAAGTACAGAAATGATTTTATTTGAGAATGGGACCTATACAAATACAAATAAAAGCTCTTTATGCAAGTATTGCTTAATTCTTTGCAAAACCCTCATGTCTTTTCCTTCCACTCTATTCCCAATGATTATCCCCAAATTTCTGTATAATCATTTTGTACCAGGTTTCTTCTTTCTTCTTATCTTTTGTCTAAACTCTTCTATGTTATGTTATTATTAATTTTCATAAAGCCTTATGATCCTAATACTTCCTTATTTTGCAAAAATGCTTATCCCAGTTCAATAATTGGATACATATGTACAAGGATGATAA